GGGGGGGGTGAAGTGGGGTGCAGATGTTGAAACCTCGCCACAAAGGACAGTAGTACACCCTTCTTCTCTACACAGACTACTCTAAACAGACAGTACATTGTAAAACACGAAGCCCTATCGTCTTTCCATCTCATTTGCTACAAAATGGCTTTCTCTTCTCAATATCTTGAATCGGAAAAACAAATACGAACTGTGAGTGAGTGTTTTTTTTTTCACGGCACGCGACCATTGACCTGTGGTCGTTGCTGTGCTGTCTCATATTTCCAGTTTAGGCGTGACTATCAGTTTATCATCGTGTATATAGGGGTGGGGCCCGGTGGGGCCTCGCCACGCGAAGCGCCACCCCACGCCGCGGGGGCTACTCACGCACGGGTCGCGGTCCCACGCCTCCACCACCACGCCCGGAGGTCTGCGGCGGACGTCATCCGGGTCGCCGCACAGCTTGACCGCGGGAAGCCGAAGGGAGCTCGACCAGCAGGGCGCCAGCGTGCCCGGCGCCACCTGCCAGGCCAAAAGAAAAGAAAGTTTCGTAATCCGTTTCAAGAGTAGTTTCTATGAAGCCGGGAGGCTCTCGGGACGCGTATACTCGCCTGTGTCTGCGCGCTGTGCGGCCCGCACACGACGCGCACGTAGGGGTCGCTGAGCCCCGATCGGTCCGCCCCGGGTCGGAAGCGGCCGTGCCACACGTGCGCCCAGCACTCGTACTCCTGAGTCAGTCCGACATACCGTTAATTCTAGGAGGGCCCGGGTCGGGTCGAAGGTCTAGGAGGGGGCCGCTCTCTGGTCCATACGGGGAGCACACGACCACGGCCACTCACGTGCACGTGCTCCTCGGCGTACGACACCGCGGCGGGCAGCCGGAGCTTGCCGGGTCGGCCCAGGTCACCGTCGTGGCCGCGGGGGAGGCCCTCCAGCGCGAGGTGCGCTTCCTTGCGCGGCCCAAGCCAGAGCAGCACCTCCAGCATGCCCGCCGTGTCCGAGCCCGAGGTCGGGTCCGCCACCCGCTGCAGGCCGAGCGTGCTGAGCTGGCCGGCGTACCGTCCTCGCTCGTTGCCGTCCCGGGCGTGCACGGCAAGGCGCGCGGGGAGAATCGCGACGGCGCAGCGCCGCCGCCCGTCGCCGACGCCGCGGGTCAGCCACAGGACCACGTCCCCGACGCCGCACTCCGCCTGCGCTGCAGCCGGCGGCCGCCCGTGAGGTAGGCAATCTCCCCGGCCCGCCGGACGCGCGCGCGTTGCGGGACTGCCTATCGCGAGGTTGGCAGGCGTCCGGCAGCCGGGCGCGGCAGGACAAGACGTGGTACTAACCGTGTCGGCCACGTGGCGCATCCGCTGGGCCAGGCCGGCCGCCTGCTCGCAGGTGGCCGACAGGTGGGCGTTGGACTCTGCAGCAGGGGCAGGTACTGGAGCAGCTGCAGGTGCGGGGGTCGCGGAGGACTCGCACACGCCTTGCGCCACGACCACCAACTGCCTCTGTGGGATCCAGAACACACTTGAGGTCCGAAAATGTCGAAAGAATGAGAGTAGTAAGAAGGTCATTTTGTACCATCATTCTGAGGCAGTGGTCGGAGGTGGGCAGGGCGGCGAGGGCCTGCAGCCGCGCGAGCGCAGAGGCCACGGCCGCGCGCAGGAGAACCTCCCCACCGCGCTCGCCCGCCCGCAACAGGCGACGCACGGAGCGCACCGCCTCCGCCTGGGGCGGTACAAGTCGAGCTTAATGGAGAATGGGGGAGGACGTCGCGGTGCTCCACGGTCGCGCCGCCGGGGGGTCCCACCAGCGCGGCGCTGAGGCGGTGCAGGGCGTTGGCGACCCGCAGGTCGCCGAACAAGTCCGGCACGAAGGTTCTCACGGCCAGCAGGGGCTTGCGGCGTCCCATATCCGCGTGTAGGTAAGCGGCGTCGTGGCAGGCCGCCCGCAGCCCTGAGCACGCGCTGTGCGCCAGCTGCCGGGCCGCCACGTCTGGAAGCCAACCCTTAGGGGATATCCAGTCGCCGAGAATACGGGGTGTGCGGTATACCGATATGCCGTTGGTAGTGCGAATAATCGTATACTATTGGTGTGAATAAGCTAAATAAGCACAACAACAAGCAGAAAGCAGGAGCACTAAGAGCAAATTGGGTACAATTTTATGACGATCATATTTATTTTTCTTTGAATTGGGCAAAAGAAAACGTGGGCTTGGCTTCACTTCTTTGTTCAACACTTGAAAATGTAGTTTAGGTACACTGTCAAAACAGCTGGCATACAAAGTAAAGTTATTTTGCACTTCGCTTTAACTTAGCATGCAGGTTCACATGTGCCCAGTTCTAAAAATATTAAAATTGTTCTATGAGATTATACCTTATTTGTTCTTACTTAGAACTACAGAACTTTAGTTCTACGTGTTATCCTTAGCCAGGATTTAAAAGTCTCTAAACTAGAAAAACGCGTTGAGAATGGCTTGTTAGGATAAAAGATAACGAAAAGTTTCATTGAACGCCTTCCTTTGAAGTTGAATAGTATTTTAACTGTAACATCTCTGTACGTATATGCTTTGCATGTATTCCTGGCCATGAAAAACCTCCGAACTTCTACCTCTCGTTCATACTAAACTGGGACTACGAAGCTAAAAACTTCATTCAAGATATGAGTTATGACATTTTATCATATTCAGACCAGTCTATCCTATGTCTTATGTGAATTACCTGACACATATTTTTAAAACGGTCTCAATGTGTAAATTCTACAAATGTTTTCGCCTCCTTTAATCAAAAATATATTTTATTAAATTTTAGAATTGTACCTAAAGGTATTAATCTGTGCATCTAACACATTGTTTATATTGTTTTTTCTGTGATCTTATGTAATGTAATGACCTCTCTTGTACAATGCAAGAAAATAAAATGGATTATGATTTCTGAAACCTTGTAGCTGGAAACTTTCCACAAAACAAAGTTCTGCTTGTTGTTGTGCTTTATTCACACCGGGAGAATATGACTATTCGCACTAACGGCAGAGCGGTATACCGAACACCCGTATTCTTAGGACGACTGGATAGCCCCCTACAGTTTTCAGTTCTCTTCACCCCCTCCCCCCCTCCCCCCTCACTCTTCCTCCGGTTGCTAGCTGACCCACCATGATCGGGGTGCTGCCACAGTTCGCGGTCCCCGGCGCTGCCCAGGCTGATTTCCAGGCCCAGGTCGCTGACGATGTTCTTGCCGCCGAGCAGCGCCCGGTCCAGCAGAAGGACATCCCACAGCACGACCACCAGGACTACGTCGGCCTGGCGCCACAGGGTGTTCTGGCGGCAAAGGGGCAAGGGACATGAGCAGAGCGCGAGGGGGCAATAACTCTGGGAATGATGTGTACCTGCCTGGGAATCACCAGGATAAACATTAATCGAAATCAACAGAAATCGCTTAAACTAAGAGGGAAACTAGTGGAACTGATAAATATTTCGAAATAAGCGCTTTCTACCACTAGAAAACCTAAGGAACGATTATAAGCGGACGGGAATATCTAGGAATCAAGTATTTCGGGAACCATGTGTACACATCGAAAGGGAGTTATTGCCCCCTCGGCAGAGCGTAGGCGTGGCGGTCCTTCTCATTGGCACTGCAGCGAACACCCCCCTGCCCCCAAAGTGTACACCCCACCACTTTAGCCCAACGGCTCTCGAAGCAATCTCACGGTAATAAACTTACAGAGAAGACTCTAAATTTTTCCATTACACAAAGCGTCCTCCCCTGTCCCTCTCCCCCGCCCCCCCCCCTCTCCTCAGA